GGGAAATGGAGACAGACTGAGAGTATGACCTAGTCCCAGAGTGGAGCAGCGATTCAGACCTGGGTAACCACTGTGTTGCCTTCCCCTCTGCGGGCCGCTCTCCACTGCCTCCTACACTGCCCTGCCCTGCCGCGCAGAATGCAGACTCATCCTGACAAGTCCACGCCAGAACCTTTGCGTCTGCCCGGAAAGGCAAGGAAGTTTAAAGCCTTTCCAGATACCCCTATGGATGATTGTCTTTTAGATCGTCCTGAGGGCTAGCTAGAGCGAATTCACCGCTTCTCCGAGAAGCAGAATGACGTCGAGTGACGACAGTGATGACAAGAGGCGGGGATATGTAGATGAAAGACACGGTGACTGCCGGTTGGAGTGAGTTCTTCATGGGGAACACTTTCCACTGAATATCCAAAAGGATGTACCCTGATCTCTGTCATATAAATAACCCTTCAATTTCGAACTTAAGGCCTAAAGAACTCGGAATATAATTGACCATGACTTTATAGTGTGTTGAAGACGATGGTGAGGTGCCAGGCGAGGGGAGCAACTCATACTTACCTGGCAGGGGAGATACCATGATCACGAAGGTGGTTTTCCCAGGGCGAGGCTCATCCATTGCACTCCGGATGTGCTGACCCCTGCGATTTCCCCAAATGTGGGAAACTCGACTGCATAATTTGTGGTAGTGGGGGACTGCGTTCGCGCTTTCCCCTGACAAACTTGGTCTTAAAAGAAGACTACTTGTTTATGTTCTTCTTTCTCTAACTTTTATTTGGGGTTTAGTGGCTTTCTAACATGGTCATTATGAGGTAAGACCTTGGGGTTGGCCTATTAATTAACACCTTGGGGCTGGCCGTATGGCTGAGTGGTTAAGTTTGTGTGCTCTGCTTCGGGTTTGGCCTGTTCTAATTCTGGGTATGGAGATGGCAGCGCTTGTCCAGCCATGCTTAGGCAACATCCCACATGCCACAACTGGAAGGATCCACAACTAAAAATACATAACTATGTACTGGGGGTCTTTGGGAGAAAAAGGAAAAAAATAAAGTCTTTAAAAAAAAAAAAGTGGCTTCTTGACGTGTCTGTCATATGCTCATAAACAGATGCCCGGGTGTGTGCTTTTGCATTTTCCGGGAATGTTTCAGCTATTGTTCACAGAGACCTCTTGCAGTGAGGGCAGGGTACTTTACATGGTGGCTTGTTTTATTCTGTTTGTGAGGATGTCCAATCTTCTAATACTGAGAATTATGTGATAAGGAGCAGGAAGTTAAACCCCTAATCTTTCTTTTTCAAAGAGTTCTGTATTTTATCCATGCAGATGAATTTGCTGGTTTAATTTTTATTCTAGCTGTGGGAGGCTGAGGTTATATAGAGGGAGAATTGCTGAATCTTAAAATAGTGAAATGTACTTGGAGTCAAAACTCTAGGGGGAACTACCAGGATCAAGTAGCTGCAGGAGCTAGCTTGTTAGAAAAGTGCTTCCCCAATGTTGAGAACCTTGGCTAACATTTTAAGACCCAGTACTCCCCAGAAGCTAGTTTCTTAAAACAGAATAAGGTCTAAATAAGCTCTGAGGGTGACTGGAAAAGAATAAAGGAAGTAAGACTTAGAAATACTCAGGGACTGGATATTAGGATGTAAATAATGAACACAATTCATACTTAAGTCCTCAGGGATGCATGTGTTCTGGAACTTTAGGGAAAAAAACGTCCCATGAAACTCAAGTCAGTCTGGGGGGTTTTATTTATCTGTATTATTTGAACATTTTATGTCACGAAATGCAATTAAATAAAAATACTTTTTTTTTTCTTTTCATCTTCTTCCTCAAAGTCCCCCAGTACATAGTTGTAGATTCTAGTTGTAGGTCCTTCTGGTTGTGCCATGTCGGACGCTGCCTCAGCATGGCTTGATGAGTGGTGCTAGGTCTGCGCCCAGGATCCAAACTGGTGAAACCCTGGGCCGCCAAAGCAGAGCACGTGAACTTAACCACTCGGCCATGGGGCTGGCCCCGAAAAATACTTTTAAAGAGATTGAAAACCATCAAGATGGCTGTTATCAAAAAACAGGAAATAAGTGTTGATGAGGATCTAAAAAATTTGGAACCCTTGTGCAGTGCTCATGGGAATATAAAAATGGTGCAGCCACTATAGAAAACAGTATGGCAGTTCCTCAAAAAATCAGACATAGAATTACCGTACCATCGAGCAATCCTACTTCTGGATATATACCCCAAGGAATTGAAAACAGGTTTGAAGAGATATTTGTACACCCATGTTGATCATAGCAGCATTATAGCCAGAGGTGGAATCAACCCAAGTGTCCAACAATGGATGAAGGGATAAACAAAATGGAATCTGTGTGTGTGTGTATTGAATATATATATTCAGTACAATGGAATATTATTCAGACTTAAAAAGGAAGGAAATTCTGACATATGCTACAACATGGATGAACCTTGAGGACATAGTGAAATAGCCAGTCACAAAAGGACAAATACTGTATGTTTCCTCTTACAGGAAGTACTTATAGTAGTCTAATTCATAGAGACAGAAAGTAGAATGGTGGTTGCCAGGGGCTGGGAGGAGGAGAAAATGGGGAATTAGTGTTTAATGGGTATAGAGTTTCAGTTTGGGAAGATGAGAAAAAAGTTCTAGAAATGGATGGTAAGTGATGGTTGCGCAATGTGAATATACCCAGTGTCATTGAACTGAACACTTAAAAATGTTTAAAAGGGTACATCTGGGACCAGCCCAGTGGCGCAGCGGTTAAGTGCGCACGTTCCACTTTGGCGGCCCGGATTTCACTGGTTTGGATCCCAGGTGTGGACATGGCACCACTTGACCAGCCATGCTGTGGTAGGCGTCCCTCATATAAAGTAGAGGAAGATGGGCGCGGATGTTAGCTCAGGACTGGTCTTCCTCAGCAAAAAGAGGAGGATTGGCAGCAGATGTTAGCTCAGGGCTAATCTGCCTCAAAAACAAACAAACAAACAAACGGTAAATTTCATATTATATGTATTTTACCACAATAACATAAATATAAAGAGCAGCAGTGTGACATACAGGTGAACATTTCAGTATGACAGAGCCTGAAAATGCACATTGGATTTGTCCAGGTGTAAGAAGATATTGGGGACTTTCACCAGCAGCCCAGTGTCAGAGGTGGGGGAAGGATAACACACTAGCAGGCCCTCAGTGCAGGCGCAGTCCAACGAGTGGATGAATGAAGCGGAGAGACTAACTATAGACTCTCCTTTTAAGAGGAATATTTTCCACTTTCTTTTTTGTAATTATTGAAACTTGTCCCATGCCTTTATTAAACTAAGTTAAACAAAACCATATGCCTATTCATATGATATAACTAGCTATTATTAGTGTTTTAGTTTGCTAGGGCTGCCATAACAAAATACTCCAGAATGAGTGGCTTAAACTACAGAAATTTATTTTCTCAGAGTTCTGGAGGCTGGAAGTCCAAGATCAAGGTGCCAGCAGGGTTAGGTTCTTCTGAGGCCTTTCTCCTTGGCTTGCAGACGGCTGCCCTCTTGTCCCTGATATCTCTTCCTCTTCTTATATGGACACCAGTCATACTGGATTATGGCCCCATTCCATCAGCCTCATTTTAACTGAATCACCTCTTTAAAGGCCTTATCTCCAAATACAGTCACATTCTGAGGTACTAGGGGTTAGGGCTTCAACATTTAGGAGGAGTGAATACAATCCAGCCCCAATCAGCCATGTAAATCATAGTGGAAATATGCCACTCTGTTTTGTACCTAGAAATAGACGGGAGGCAGAATGAGGGAGCGGGGGAGGAATGACAGCTTCCTATAAAAGCTTCAGTGTGTATTTAAAATGAACAATATTTTCTCAGTCACTTTTGTTTGCTTAAGAACATTGTGATATTTTTGGATTACTAGGATATTGTTTGTAGTCACTGATGTGGATATTAACAAATACCAAAGGAAACTTAAAACACTCCAGTTCGCATTTTATACATTTTGTCAGTGGATAAATTAAGAAAATGTTACTTCTCGGTAACTTAAAAGCCTCCTGGCTGGTGAAGACCCACCATATGTGTCAGCCATCATGGCTTTTTCTTTTACTTTACCTCATGTTACACCCTCTGTGTCTTTCCATGTAGCACTTAGTTATGCCCTTGATGTCTGTGCTTGTTGATTCATATGAATGCGGCTTCCTTCTCTTCTCCATTGTCTGTGGAACACCAACATGGTGCCACTTGTCTGCCCTCCTAGACTGAGCATTGTGATGGCAGTGATGCAATTTTAGGTGTCTTAAACGGCACCTGTCACATTTGAGACACATGGTAGATAGACCACAAACACTTGATTGTATGATGGTCAGGTGTGGATGCTACATGTGGAAAGTTAGAATTTCTCTGCATGGTCCTTATCATGCACAGTAGCAGCTAACAACTACAAAGAACTCCTTTGGTGCCAGACACAGTTCTAAGCACTTTACACATAATAGCTCGTTTAAACCTCTGAGCAACCCTCTGGTTATTATTCTCCTCATTTACAGAGGAAGAAATTGAGGCCTGTCAAGGTTAAATAATTTCTCCAAGGTCACACAGTTAGGGAGGTGACACAGCCAGGACCAGAACTTCAGAGCCTGAACTGTGAACCCAACCCACTACATTATACTATCTACATTCTTACATAATGACTGCATTTGTGTACCAACCTTTCAAAGTTAATACTCTCCTAATTAGCTTAATGGCACAACAAACATATATATTTCTAATTTTATTTGCTAGTAGTCATCACTTTTCCAGTCCTGGGAATTAGTGATAAATATATTCAGTTTGATTTTAACAGTAACATTGAGAATAAACATTAATCTTGTAGAATTTCAGTATGTAATTGTTCTCTAGTCCTGTTTGTTATAAATGAAAGTAGACAAGAAGTAAAAGAAATGTGAAAGAATTTAAGTTGCTTCCTTGCATTTCTGATTCAGTTAGAATAAGCATGTTGCTTCCTTTTGAAACAGGATGTCTCGTGCTGTTCCTCTTCCAGTCCCCTGTCCAGTTCAGCTTGGTTCCTTAAGAAATGATTCCTTGGAAGCTCAGCTTCATGAGTATGTCAAACAAGGGAACTATGTGAAAGTGAAGAAGATTCTTAAGAAAGGTAAGTATCATGTTGAAATGGCAGATGCAGCTTGGTCCACATTTCTGAATAGCATCAGAACGGAAACCAAATACATCATAAAGCTATGAGTTCTTGTGGAAATCAGAAGTTAAATCTAGAGATGAGATGTTCTCTACCAGTGCACTTATATTGTTCAAAAGAGTTCTTAAATCACCATTGGAGGCTGTTTTGTTTTGCTTTTTGTTAGGGAACCATAACGTCTTCCAACTATTAGGCTCCTGGGGTTTCTCGTCAGGCCCCAGCCATCCACCTTTGATTCTGCCCAATTCCCTCTTCTCCTTCAAATCTACTCCATCCACTGGGTCTTCTGAGGCCTGTGGTGGAGTGAGGAGCCATCTTTCACAGCTCTCCCCTTCCTTGCTCCTTCCAGGCACTTGGTGCTTTTATTTTCAAGATTGTTTTGTTAGAGGCTACAGCCACCTCAGCCTAAAGGGCAGACAGAAATAGCGACCATAGCTCAGGTATAATCTTCAAAAGAACAAACAAATACAAAAAGACCATTCTCAAACGAAACCTCTGCTGATCTTGAGATCCACAGCTGCTTTTTTCAGAGTAACCAGAGTCCTGCCAGATTCCCCCTCTCCCTTCTTAGTATTGAAAGGGAAGCTTATTAAGCTTCTCTCAGCTGGTTTGTGGAACAGTTGGGGTGACTAATTTCTCTACAATGTTTCTCCATTTACCTCAGTCTCATTCCTGAGGACTTCGAGAAGGGTAACCCCAGTTTTTGTAGGATCCAACTATCCCACAAAGTATTTCCCTCAAAAGTTCTTAAATTTTTCCATGTACCACCCCTACAGTCTATCGATGAAGTAGCTGACAGTGAGCTCAATAATTTATTTGAAAGGTCCTCCCCCCGCCTCAAAATTTTGCGTTTTACCCCATAACACACCCATATGTGTTTTTACATAAAAATTGGTGTTCAAATTAGGCATGCTGTGACTTCTAGTGTTTATCTATTCAAACCCTCCAGTGTGAGAAGCAGAGTTTTAGGACATTTATTATCTTCTAGACATCTCCTGAATGTTCTGCATCTTCAAATTCTTGACGTTAAGCTAGAGCAGGGGATGGGGTTGAGAGGCGTAACTGGATATGAAGCATGACTTCATCTGTGTCTGGGAATTTCATCTAAAGCCTCAGAGTAAAGAACAGAATGATAGGTTCCCCCGGAGTCTAAAGCAGGGCTTCCTAGGAGATAGCCAAAATGGTCCGTGGGCCAAAATGGTTTGTGGACCTTCAACTCCATTACCCACCTCAGGCCTGTCTAAGAGAAGGCAATGGGATAGTGGTGAGGGTGTCAGTGGAAAAGATTCTTTAAACGGCATTCACAGGAATAGAATGCTGTGGCTTTTCCCTCCTTCTTAGCCTCAAGCCAAGTAAGAAGCCCTTCAGGTGAACCTCATGGAGAGAATTGTGCTTGCTAGCAAGAGAGGTGGGAGCCTGTCTCCTAGCCTGCTGAAGAGTAGAAACATGTCAGCCCACCCCAACTGCCACCAACGTGGCATGAAGAGAAACTGGCATGTTACCTGGAATTTAGGGGTGAGGGAGACTGCTATCGGCCTCCTACCTGGAGCAGTCCTTGAAGGCTGGGTGAGCGTGAGAGACCAGCAGTTGCAGCTGCCACACTTCCACTAGTTGGTGGGTAAGTAGACTGAGTAGGGGATAGCTGAGCCATGTAAAGGGACCTCACTTAGGAAAGAAGGAAGGAAGAATCCCAACAGAGAGGCTGGAGATGTAGCAAGAAGTCAGCAGGCGAAAACACTGGCCTGCATTAGGGTGCTGTGCAGTGGCGTGGAGGTACCTGAAGGATCCACTAAGACAAAAGACCCTCCCACAAAAGAACAGGCATTAGAACAAAGCCAAAAAGTGAGCCAAAACTTCAGTTAAGCCTTTGTACTTTGCCCTGTGTCATCTCATTGGCTCTCTCCCTGCTTCAGCTCTAGAGCTGCCAGAAGCAGCCTTGAGATCAGAGGAGAAGTAGAGAAGCAAGGAAGAGGTTTTGATTTCAACAGGACTGGACAGTTTATTACCGGAAATGAGACTGGGCTCGAATGTCTCAGAGTGACTGAAAGACTATGGAATCTACCTGAGACGCATCTCAGGAGAGGCGAAGGGAGAGCCAACTGACAAGAGTGTAGTGGAAGTGAGGGCAGTAGAGGGGAAAAACTGTTTCCTGATTGTATACCCTACTCAGTTCAGCCCATTCAAAAGGCCAGTTGCTACAGATTATGTGAGTTCTAAAACCGAAATGATGAGTTTCAGAACCTCAGTCAATCCAGACTTTATTCATTTTTACTTTATTACATGTATACTAATTGAGCCTTGGGATTAGAGCAGCCAAGGAAAGATGTATAACCCTACCTTGCAGGAGTGTCATCCAGCAGAAGAAACAGACATGAGTTAGTAACTGAAGTAGTCAGAAGGGCAGGAGGTGGAGGGAACACACCATGTATATCTCAGTCTGCTTGTCTGGGGGTAATCAAGGGGAACTTCTTAGAGAAAGTGATATTTAGACCGAGACCTTAAGGAAGAAAAGGAGTTGAGGTAAAAGGTAAAAGTTGGAGGCAAGGGAGGATTAAAGGGATGCCAAGGCCCTGAGTATGGGGAGGTGCTAGAAAAAAAAGGGTCTGGATGATTTGAGTGGAGGAGAAAGCAAAGAGGCGGGAGAGAGTGGTGTGGGGTGAAGCTAGCAAGGTGGGCTGCAGCTGGACCCGGCCTCGTGGGCTGTTGGAAGGATTTTAGTATTAGGTGTGTACATATTTAGAATTGTTACATCTTCCTGATGAATTGACCCTGTTATCATTATGAGATGTCCCTCTTTATCTCTGGTAATACTAGTTGTTTTGGAATCTACTTTATCTGATGTTAATATAGCCACTTCAGCTTCCTTCTGCTTCCATTGCACAGAACATTTGTATCTGTATAGTTAAAATATGTCTTCTGTAGAGACATATAGACAAGTTGAGACTTGTGTTTTAAAATCCATTCTGACACTCTCTGCCTTTTAATTGGAGTGTTTAGTCCATTAACATTTAATGTAATTATTGATATGGTTGGATTTAGGACTAACATTTTATTTTATGTTATTTTATTTATTTTATATTTTTTGAGGAAGTTTAGTCCTGAGCTAACTACTGCCAGTCCTCCTCTTTTTTTGCTGAGGAAGCCTGGCCCCGAGCTAACATCCATGCCCATCTTCCTCTACTTTATATGTGGGACGCCTACCACAGCAAGTGCCAAGACAGCATGGCATGTCTGTACCCAGGATCCAAACTGGCGAACCCCCAGGCCACCGAGAAGCGGAACATGTGAACTTTACTGCTGCGCCACCGGGCCAGCCCCAGGACTAACATTTTATTATGTTGTTTTCTGTTTGTTCTCTGTTTTTTATTACTTTCTTCCTTCTTCTCTGCCTTCTTTTGACTTAATTAAATGTTTTTAAAATTCCATTTTAATTTAGCTCTTGACTTTTTAGCTGTATTTCTCTACATTATTTTTTTAGTGGTTGCTCTAGTCATTACAATATGTATCTTTAATTTTTCCCAGTCTATTTAGAATTAATACTGTAGCACTTCACATAAAACATACAACCATATGGGCTCATTTCTTCCCTTCCCCTTTCCTTTGTATTAAAGATGCCGTAAGTATTATATCTGTTTGAGTTGTGAATCCCATAATATAATTTTATAATTTTTACATTAAAGAGTCATTCATACTTTAAAGAAATTAGGAGGAAAAAATAGTCTTTTACATTTACCTACATATTTACCAGTTCTAGTACTCTTCACTCTTTCCGGAAGATACAAGTTTCCTTCTACAGCCTGAAGAACTTTCTTTAATGTTTCTTGTATTGCAAGTCTTCTGGTAATAAATTCTCTGCTTTCTTTTATCTAAAAATGTCTTTATTTCACTATGATTCTTTTTTTTTTTTTTTTTTTTTTTTTTAAGATTTTATTTTTTCCTTTTTCTCCCCAAAGCCCCCCGGTACATAGTTGTATATTCTTCGTTGTGGGTTCCTCTAGTTGTGGCATGTGGGACGCTGCCTCAGCGTGGTCTGACAAGCAGCGCCATGTCCGCGCCCAGGATTCGAACCGACGAAACACTGGGCCGCCTGCAGCGGAGCGCGCGAACTTAACCACTCGGCCACGGGGCCAGCCCCCACTATGATTCTTGATGAATATATTCACTGGATGTAGAATTTCAAGTTGAATGTTTTTTGCTTCAGCCACTGTCTTTTGGCCTGTATAGTTTCTGATGAGAAATCAACTGTCATTTGAGTCACTGTTTACCTGCATGTAATGGGTTGTTGTTCTCTGGCTTCCTTCAAGAGTTTTTTTTTATTTTTGTTTTTTAGTGGTTTGACTATGGTGTGCCTAGGGGTGATTTGCTTTATATTTATCCTGCCTGGGGTTTGCTTACCTCCTTCAGTGTGAAAATTAATATCTCTTACCAAATTTGGGAACCTTTCTGCCATTATTTCTTCAGATGTTCTTTCTGTTCCATTCTCTTCTTGTGGAAATTCACTTATGTTTATGTCAGATCTTTTTTTTTTTTTTTCGGTGAGGAAAATTCACCCTGAGCTAACATTTGTTGCCAATCCTCCTTTTTTTTGTTTTTCTCTTGAGGAAGATTAGTCTTGAGCTAACATCTGTGCCAGTCTTCCAGTTTGTATGTGGGATACTTCCACAGCATGGCTGATGAGTGGAGTAGGTTCGCACCAGGGATCCAAACGTGTGAACCTGGACTGCTGAAGTGGAGCACATGGAACTTTTAACTACCAGCCCCTCTATGTCAGACTTTTTGATATTGTCCCACAGTCCCCAAAGCTCTGTTAATTTTCTTTTTCCATCTTTTTTCTCTGTATCCTTCAGATTGGATAATTTCTCTTGATCTTTTGTCAAGTTCATGGATTTTCTGTCATCTCTAATCTGCTCTTAACCTTATCCAGGTTCACTAACTCACTAGAATGACTCACAGAACTCACGAAAACATTTTATTTACTATTCCTGGTTTATTACAAAGGATACAGTTCAAGAACAGCCAAATGGAAGAGATAAAGCAAGGCATGGGGGTGGTGGCATGCAGAAGGAATTTCCCTGCCCTCTTCAGGTACACCACCCTCCCAGCACTTGAGTGTGTTCACCAATCTGGAAGCTTTCTGAACCTTATTGGTTAGGGGTTTTTGTGGAGGTTCCATTACATAGGCATTGATTAAATCATTGGCCCTTTGTGATTGAGTTCAATATTCAGCCCTTCCCAGAGATGGGGTGGGGTTTGAGGTGAGGGGCAGTGGTGGAGCTGAAGGTCTCAACCCTCTAATCATGACTTGGTCTTGTTCTTTTGGGTGACCAGCCCCCATCCTGAAGCTGTCTAGTAATCCCCTCAACCGGGAGTCACTTCGTCAGCATACCAAAGACACTTTTATCACTCTATCACTCAGGAAATTCCAAGAGGTTTAGGAGCTCTTGTGCCAGATACCTAGGACAATATTTCTTATGTCACAGGTGTGAATAGATTTGTATTTCTTTTCTTTTTTTTAAAGATTGGCACCTGAGCTAACAACTGTTGCCAAGCTTTTTTTTCTTCTTCTTTTTCTGCTTTATCTCCCCAGATGCCCCTGGTACATAGTTGTATATCTTAGTTGCAGGTCCTTCTAGTTGTGGCACGTGGGATGCCACCTCAACGTGGCCTAACGAGCTGTGCCATGTCCGCGCCCAGGATCCGAACCGCCGAAACCCTGGGCTGCCGCAGCCGAGCACACGAACTTAACCACTCGGCCACGGGGCCAGCCCCAGATTTGTATTTCTAAATGCTTGCTCTGGCTGCAAGTGGCTTTGAGGTGAGGGGAGGGAGAAAAGAGTAGGATGACTCATGTTTTTGGTTGGAGCAACTAGGTTGAATTTGATGTCATTGCCTGGAAAAGGAACAAGTTTGTGAAGGAAGCTGATAGAATTCAGTTTGGGTAGGCTACCTTTGAGATACCTGTGATTCAGCTAAGTGGAATGTCCAATAGAAGCTGGATATATGAGCCAGCAGCTCAGAAGAGGTCTCACTGCACATCCATGTTTTGAAACCAAGGATGATCAGTAGGACAGAGCCAAGAACCTTGCTTATAGGGACCTCACTCTCTTACAACAGGCTGGGCTTGTTGGGGGACAAGTAGAGATGGAGGGAGGGGAAAATCAGGTTGTTCCAACAGTTAGGTCAGTAACCAGAGTGAAGGAAGGAACAATACATTTACTGATTCATCATGCATTCACTTAGTCAGGATTTAACTGGGCATCTGCTGTGCCAGGCAAGGTGTTGGAGATACAAGGATAAATGTGACCTGGTTCCTGCTTTTAAAGAGCTCACCATTTAGTAAGGGGAAGTAAATGCATTTGTACCACAGTGAGCTATGTAGAAGCACATGCAAGGATAATTAGGGACACAAAGCACATGGTGGTCACTGTTATCTGGGAAGGTCAGGGAAGGCATCCAGAAGAGGTGACATGAGCTTAGTCTTAGAATGTGCTGGAGTGATGGTCAGACCCACATGCATTTGGAGAATCTCCTCACAGGAGGCCAAGGGATGGCATGGATGGTGAGGGGTCCCCAGAAAGGTTGAAAGAATGGAGAATGAAAAAGTCTTGGCTGTGGAAGAGCCCAGACAGGCTTAGATTAGATACAGGGTCCTTGGGTGAAAGTGCCTGGAAAGCACCTTCTAACTTCAAGATATGAGGAACTGCCTTGACACCAGGAGATGCATCCCAGATTTGGTCAGATTACCCCAACACTCTTCCTTTCTCTGAAGGAATTTAAGTACAGAGGATTTGGCTGTCTCTAAGGAGATTCTGTTAGAAGTGGTTGGATGAGATGAACCTGATGGTCTTAGTCATGTTACTATGATGTAATAAAAATGTAGTTAATTGAGAACACCATGTGCATGTCTGTGTGGCACTGTGTTTCTTGGCATGCCAGAAGATGTGGGGCAGAAGCATTTTTACAACAGAAAGTTAAATGACTAAAACAGTTACACACCATCATATATAAAGCATGTTCTTGGAGGAGAAACTGGAATTAACTTTTACCACCAGTAAATGGGTAGGTAGGCTTCCGCTGGGATTTAGAAGCCAGGAAGATGAATCATTCAAGACTGAATGTTGAGGGATGATGTATTTAGTCCTTTATTAAAGAAATGAATTGAGACTAGCCCTCTTGAGGAAGATCATTTTGGCTTATCTGAAAAACCTGGACTTGATTTAGTGCCAGGCAGGCGGAGGTTCCAACTGTGCTTCCCTCAGCTGTGTGAGATGCTATAGCCAGCGTCTGTAAGAATGAGACATAAGAACCACACCCTTCTCCTTCAGTTTAGAGGATGAAATGAGACAACGGATTAAATGCCTGTCAGAGAATCGGCATTCAATAAGCCATCATGGTCATGATGATGATGTGGTGGTGGTGGTGGGAGGGTACAACACTTTCAGTCTCGCCTCTCTCCCTCCTTCTCCCCTCTCCTCTCCTCTCTCTTTCAAGGCAAAGGAAACCTGGGGTCTCTTCAGGTCCGCGGACCTCTCCAGCAGGCGAGAGGCTGTCGGCGCTGACCGGTGGCAGGAACAGCGTTTCCTTAACTTACAGTGGGCCGGTGCTCCCCGAGGCGGCGGCTGGCGCGGTGGGCGGGGTAGCAAGCTCTCTTCCCCAAGGAGTCAGATGCGTGCAGCGTGTGATTGGCTGCTAGGAAGTCGTATGTTAATAAGGCCTGTTGCTGATTTGAAGTGTTTCTGGAAGATTTACAAATGTAGATGGTGTTTGGGAACTTTGCCGTTTGATCGAATTGTTACGAGATATAAAATAAAATATATTGAAAAGGCAGATGAATTGGCAAAAACATGTCGCCATGAGTACAAGTGCGCATCTGCCACAGACCCAGCAGAGGCTGCGTGTTCAACGGCAAGACTATACTTTCAGGGATTATTTCTGTAGTTCGTTACTAGAGAAGTTTCTCTGAACGTGTAGAGCACCCGAAACCACGAGGAGGAGGCGCAGCGTTCTCTTCTGAGCGTGAAGCCGGCTCTTGGTGTTGCTTTCAGCAACTGCCACTTGCCGTTGATGATCGTTCTACTTCTTTTTCTGGGGAAGTAAAAGGGAGAGAACGCCGTCTGAGTGGTGTTTTTTTCCTTTTGCTTTGGTATGGGAAACTGTGAGCTTTTCTCTTTTCATTTGAAGGCTAGTTGAGGGGCGCCGGCGGGTCCCGTGGCTGAATGGTTAGGTTCCCGCGTTGGTTGCGGTGGCTTAGGTTTTCATAGGTTCGAATTTTAGTTGCGCACATAGAGTCGCTCGTCAGGCCATGCTGAGGCGACGTCCCACATGCCACAACTAGAAGGACCCACAACTAAAATATACAGCGAGGTACCCGGGGCCTTTGCGCAGGGAAAGGAAAAAAATCTTTAAAAAGAGACGTTGAGATATTTCAGTATATTTTTTTGTTTTGTTGTCTTGAGTGTTTCTTTCTTGAAACAGAAGTTCCTGTTTAGTTCTGCAATTTTTGAGTCTCGGAATGTCGGTGATGCATTTCCTCATACCTTCCTTGTTAGTTGATCCTCAAACTGTCCTGAGTCTTTTTTTTCTTCCTGTTGGGTGGTTAACGTTTTCTTATTCTCTGGGAATTTTAAGGATTTTTCTTTTATTCCTGAGCATTTGGGGAAATCCTTTCCATGTGGGGTTTTTTTTGCAAAAGTAATTTGTTTTTCTCCACCTTCTCTGCACTACCCTGTTAGAACTCCCTTTAGTCAGATATTGTGCCTCCTAAATTAATCCTTGGAGTCTCCTTTTTCTCTTTTTTTTTTTTTTTTTTAAGATTTTATTTTTTCCTTTTTCTCCCCAAAGCCCCCTGGTACATAGTTGTACATTCTTCGTTGTGTGTCCATCTAGTTGTGGCATGTGGGATGCTGCCTCAGCGTGGTTTGATGAGCAGTGTCATGTCCGCGCCCAGGATTCGAACCAACGAAACACTGGGCCGCCTACAGCGGAGCGCGCGAACTTAACTGCTCGGCCACGGGGCCAGCCCCCCTTTTTCTCTTTTTTTTTTTTTGTTAAAGATTTTATTTTTCCTTCTCCCAAAGCCCCCCGGTACATAGTTGTGTATTTTTAGTTGTGGGTCCTTCTAGTTGTGGCATGTGGGACGCCACCTCAGCATGGCCCGATAAGCAGTGCCATGTCCGAGCCCAGGATTTGAACTGGTGAAACCCTGGGCCGCTGCAGCAGAGCGCGTGAGCTTAACCACTCGGCTACAAGGCTAGCCCCACTTATTTTCTCTTTCATCGTTTTGTATTACTATCTGGGATGCTTACTTGACTTTATCTGCTAAGTTTTCTATTAAACTTTTATTTTTGGTTGTGAATATTTTAGTTTTCAAGAGTACTTTTTCTTATTGATTGTTTTCAAGGCATTCTGTTTTTGAACTTTAGAGATCATATCTTTTTCTCCGAGGATATTATACTTCTTGATGTTTTCTTCTAGTCATTGTTCTCCCCACTCTTCCTCCCCCCCCCCCCCCCCCCCCATTTATTTTGCTGTCTTCCACTGAGAGCTTTCCTCAAGCCTGTGATGATTCTGGCCTGTCTATGTTTTAAAGTGAGTCACTGGTTGGAAGATGCTGATTGAAAGTTTTGTGGGCATGGGTGGGGCTTTTTCTCTTCTGGGCTTCACTTTGAAATGCCTGGGTGGGGAGGGTAACTCCTCAATATCAGTAGGTGGAGATCTTTTTATTCCTCTCTGAGCCTTCTTACTTTTCTTTCTGAGAAAACTCTGATGTTTTGCCTGGGGAATACATGCTTAGTAATTCAAGGCCTGTCATTAATGTTTTCCAGTGCTTAGAGCCTATGAAGATCTCTGCTCTGTTGTGAGTACCATCCGCACTCCTGGACATGTATGGTCCATAGATCATTTATGGGCATGCCAGGCATCTCTCCTTTGAGTCCTGTTGGTCTGCTTTTGGAGGATTATCCAGCACTATTTACTTCATTTGTGTTCTGAGCAACATATCGCTGAAACACAGGTTTAATGGATAGTTTTAAGGTGTGTTTTTGTTTGTTTGTTTGGTGGAGAAGACTGGCCCATGGGGGCCAACCCAGTGGCACAGCAGTTGTGTGCACGTTCCAGTTTGGTGGCCCGGAGTTCACCGGTTCGGATCCTGGGTGTGGACATGGCACCGCTTGGCAAGCCATGCTGTGGTAGGCATCCCACATATAAAGTAGAGGAAGATGGGCATGGATGTTAGCTCAGGGTCAGTCTTCCTCTATAAAAAGAGGAGGATTGGCAGCAGATGTTAGCTCAGGGTTAATCTTCCTCAAAAAAGAAAAAAAAAAGCGCAGAAACTTAACCACCATGCCACTGAGCTGGCCCCAATGTGTGTTTTATAAAAAAATGAATATTGAGGGGCTGGCCCCATGGCCGAGTGGTTAAGTTCGCGCCCTCGCTGCAGGCAGCCCAGTGTTTTGTTGGTTCGGATCCTGGGCGCAGACATGGCACTGCTCATCAGACCACACTGAGGCAGCGTCCCACATGCCACAACTAGAAGGACCCACAACGAAGAATATACAACTATGTGCTGGGGGGCTTTGGGAAGAAAAAGGAAAAAAATAAAATCTTAAAAAAAAATGAATATTGATACATTATTATTAACTGAAGTTCATAGCTTACCTGAAAGTTCACTCTTTGTGCTAGATAGTTCTGTGGATTTTGATGAGTGTATAATTTTGTGTGTCCACAATTACAGTATCATACAGAACGGTTTCACTACCCTAAAAATCCTTTATGCTCCTCCTAATCATCCCTCCCTTGTGAACCCTGGAAACCACTGATTTGTCTTTCTTTTTACTGTCTCCATATTTTTGCCTTTTCCAGAGTGTCATATAGTTGCAATCATACAAGATGTAGACTTTTCAGATTGGCTTCTTTCACTTAGCAATATGCATTTTAAGTTCCTGGGTGTCGTTTGGTGGCTTGATAGCTCTTTTTTTTTTTTTGATGAGGACTATTGGCTCTGAGTTAACATCTGTTACCAATTTTCCTCTTTTTGCTTGAGGAAGATTGTTGCTGAGCTAACATCTGTGCCAGTCTTCCTCTATTTTGAATGTGGAACGCTGCCACAGTGTGGCTTGATGAGTGATGTGTAGGTCTCTGCCAAGGATCTGAACCCGCAAACCCTGGCCTGCTGAAGCAGAGTCGGGAACTTAACCACTACGCCACCAGGCGGGCCCCAGTCTTTTTTTTTTTTTTGTCACTGAATAATATTTTATTGTCTAGATGTACCATAGTTTGTTTATCCATTCAATTATTGAAGGACATCTTGATTGCTTCCAAGTTTTGGCAATTATGAATAAATCTGCTATCAACATTCATGTGCAGGTTTTTGTGTGGACATAACTTTTCAATTCATTTTGGGTACATACCAAGGGGTGCAATTGCTGGATTGTATGGTAAGAGAATGTTTAGCTTTGTAAGAAACTGCCAAACTATCTCCCAAAGTGGCTGTACCATTGTCCATTCCCACCAGCAATGAATGAGAGTTCCTGTTGCTCCACATCCTTGTCAGCACTTGGTATTGTGGATTTTAGCCATTCTAATAGGTGTGTAAGTAGTATCTCATTGTTTTGTTAATGTTTTTCAAATATATAGTAGAATAAATAATAATTTGAGTGTAGCGCTTGAAATAGTTTCGTGGTTCACCAGTAAGTCCCATGCCCCAGCAGAGTGGCCAGGAGCCCAGCTCCAGATTCACATGTCCTCAGCCAAGTTATCAAACTCCCTGTGTCTCAGTTTCCTCTGCTGTAAAATGGGGATAATAATAATACCTACCTCAAAAAAGATTAAATGATATAATATGTATAAAGCTTTTAGCACAGAGCCTAAAACAATATTGAGAGCTTAACAGATTTTGCTATTATTATTAACCTTTTACCATTATATGAATGGTTTCATAGGGACTACGGATAGCCAAACCACACAAGTCCTACCCATTCCTGACCCACCTAGATTCTCATAACCTCCTAGGGCCAGTATCTGTACTGTATTCCAAAAGATCTCTCCACGGGTTTGGAAAAAAGGCCTCCACGTTGAGACTCGCTGGATCGTGATGGGAATAGTGTCATATTAACCTGCTAGCTTTGGAGACTCAAATCTTAGGCTGTGAAGTTTAGGACAAATCACCAATGACATATATTCCTTGTTGCTTCAGTGATTTATTAATTACAAAGTACTCAAAAATGTCCACAGAATCCCAGCCTTTCCTTTCCTGGTATCAGGCATGGATGTATCTGTTTTTGGAACTGCCGATCAGTGGGAGAAAAACCGGGGCCAACAATGTAATGGAAACAGTTCTGTGATTGCCATCAGTCAACAGCATGCACTTTGTGATTGTGAGGCATCCAGAGGTCAGGCAGGCGTCCCTGAATGCCAGGCTCTGTTAAGGCATTTCACAAATGTTAACTCTTCTCATCTTTGCAGTCTCCCTTATATGAGGTGGGTTCTGTTATTTTCGGGCCCATTTTAAAGGTCAGTGAAGGAAGCATCTATAATAGGTTATTCAAAGCAAAACTTCTTAGACATGTTGAACATATGAAATCTTATTAACTGGCTGCCAAAAGGACCAGCAGGTGGCAAGGGTAAGCATGGGGGGCGGGGCAGATGGTTGGAAAACCATATAATAGGCAAATATTATTTAAGAAATAAGCACTAATTTAGGTAGAGATTACCTAAACTTTTGTTTCACATAGTCCTAAAAATATTAAATGTACATGTCTCATTACAGAGGAAATGTGGGCCAGGCTGGCCGAAATGCCAGGTGTACTGACTCTCAATCAGAGAGCATTTCAGGCAAGGGGAACAAGAGGTCGGAAGGCTTTTCTTGCTGGAAGCATAAACACAATAAACCTAAGAAGCAAATGATGAGGCTACATCTGTGGCTGTTATTTGGAATAAAAAGGTTTCATTCCCCAATGGTAGTTTCACCATTCGTAACACAGAAGGACAAACCCAACAAACAGTGGTAAAAGTAAAGCCCCAAGGAAAGATTCTGATCTTAACTGGGCTGCTCTCAACAGAGATTTTCTCAAGCTGCAAGCGAAGGTGCAGAATACACAGTTCGCCCAGTGCTTAGTTTGGGGAGAGAACCTGTTTTTCTTTTTTTTAAAATGTGTGATCTGAGGATTTCCTTTTTTTTTTTTTAATTTTATTTTTTTCCTTTTTCTCCCCAAAGCCCCCCAGCACATAGTTGTATATTCTTCGTTGTGGGTCTTCAAGTTGTGGCATGTGGGACGCTGCCTCAGCGTGGTCTGATGAGCAGTGCCATGTCCGCACCCAGGATTCGAACCAACGAAACCCTGGGCTGCCTGCAGCGGAGTGCACGAACTTAACCACTCGGCCACGGGGCCAGCCCCTGAACCTGTTTTTCTTTGACAAGATTAAGGGATTTGCCCAAGATGGCACAGCCAGTAAGTGAGGGCTAGACTAGATTCAGGCAGTCTAGATCCAGAGAACACAAGCCTAACATTAACTTCCTTGCTTCTCTGGGATCTGGAGCTCTTAAAGAGATGACACCTAATGTAGCTCCCCAGATGTCAATCGTCATTTGAAGGGGCTGGCGTGCAAAGCTTGTTTGCTGATTTTTGTAAGAAGGTAGCCACGTGAAACCCTCTCCCCAATAAGTAAAATGTGTGTGGGTTTCTTTTCCTCAGTAGAAGCCTGATCAGGAATTATCTTTTATTATTTATTTATTTTTTTTTTTTTTTGAGGAAGATCAGCCCTGAGCTAACCTCTGCTGCCAATCCTCCTCTTTTTGCTGAGGAAGACTGGCCCTGAGCTCACATCCATGCCCATCTTCGTCCACTTTATGTGTGGGACGCCTACCACAGCATGGCGTGTCAAGGGGTGCCATGTCTGCACCTGGGATCTGAACCAGCAAACCCCAAGCTGCCGAAGCGAAACGTGCACACTTAACCGCTGCGCCACTGGCCAGCCCCAAGCAGAAGTTTCTTAAGTTTCCTGTGCCTCCATTTCCTTGTCTAAAACTGGGTTGATAATAATAACTTTCCTCATAGTGTTGTTGTGAATATTAAGTGAGGTAATATGAGAATATCAGAGCTAGGAGGTACTTTCAAGATAGGTCATTCAGTCCAATTCCTTATTTCCACATTTTACAGTTAGGGGTCACGTTTCTCTCTCTCTCTTTCCTTTCTCTCCCTGCTACCTTCACCTCATTCTGTCTTTGGTACTCAGAAGTGGAGTGTTTCTGTGTGTGTGTACGTCACATGGGTGTGAGCTATGCAGGGTGCGGTCTCAGGTTCCTTCAGGGAGGCCGAGTTTGTCACTCACTACCCAGTTGGTGACTTGCTGATCTACTGAAGAGGAGCTTCCTTTAGTAATCTCCTTCAGGACAAGGATTTAGGGTCTCATCTTCTTGTTGATGTGTCGCAGAGCTGCCAAGTGCTGTTCACTGGGCCAATGCATGGCTGTTGTCTGTCAGGAAGTGGCCAGAGGGCCTCAGGTCAGGACACAGGCTACATTCTCAGCCCTCTGCTCTTCAGAGCACTTGTGGTCTGTAAAGCAGCCCCCATTAATAAGTGGTTCATCCACCGCTACTCCTCAGGAATGAGTGCCCTATGATTTGCTTCTTTAGCATTTGTGAGAAATGCCTAGATGATGTCTCACTGCTCCTCCGACTGTGCACCCACATTCCCCACTTTGTTCCCTTTTCAACCTCTGCCCCCGCCCCCCCACCCCATTCTCCCACTGCCTACTTCTTTCCTTACGCGTTTATTTTAGTCAGGTCACTTTGTTAAATTTTACGTACAACCTCTAGTCTCTAGGCAAAATACAAAGAGCGTTTCCTGTGGGTTACGTGGAAGGAGAAGAGGACTCGCAAGATACAGGAGGGGAGAAAATTAGTGTTCAAGGCAGCAGGAGACAGCTTGTGGCCTGGCTGAGCCACTTAACATTCTAAGTTCATTCCCTTAAGCTCTTAGGGTTTATTTCCAAGATTAAATGAGGGGATCCGTGTAAAGGGTTAGTGGAAGGCCTGGAACATAGTAAAGTACTGGAGAAATGGTAGCTTTTTTTTTTTTTTTAAATGAACAAGAGAAATAACATTTAAGTCAGGATGTTTTTAGGGGGAGGGGTGTAGGATGTGTAATCTTTCAGACTTACCTGGCAAGTTTCTTTTTTGAAAAATAATATGACTTATTTAGTTTGGAATACTTTTAAAAGATTTTATTTTTTTCCTTTTTCTCCCAAAGACCCCTGGTACATAGTTGTATATTTTTAGTTATGGGTCCTTCCAGTTGTGGCATGTGGGACGCTGCCTCAGCATGGCTTGATGAGCGGTGCTATGTCCATGCCCAGGATCTGAATTGGCGAAACCCTGGGCTGCCGAAGCAGAGCGCACGAACTTAACCACTTGGCCACAGAGCGGCCCCTGGAATTTTTTTTAATACTGTCAAGTACAAAGAATAAAAATAAAAATAAGCTGTAATTGGAGCCGGCCCGGAGGCACAGCGGTTAAGTTCACATGTTCTGCTTTTGCAGCCCGGGGTTTGCCAGTTTGGATCCCGGGTGCGGACATGGCACCGCTTGGCAAGCCATGCTGTGGCAGGCATCCCACATATAAAGTAGAGGAAGATGGGCACGGGTGTTAGCTCAGGGCCAGTCTTCCTCAGCAAAAAGCAGAGGATTGGCAGCAGATGTGAGCTCAGGGCTAATCTTCCTCAAAAAAAATAAATAAATAAAAATGAGCTGTAATCTCTCTAGATAGACCTGCTGATATTTAAAAATAAAGGTGATACAGTCTGAGCTTAAAAAAATTCAAACGGTACAAAAATGTACAAAATTACCAATAAAACAGACCTACCCCCCCAAAACCCAAAGTACCCACACTACAGCTTTTATGTTTTTCCTAATTAAAAAAATGGAAAGAATTGTTTTCAAAATAAACCTCTCTGTTCCCCATTTGAGATTGGCCCGGGTACATGAAAAGCTACCCACATGAGCCCAGTATGTGCTGCTCAGGTCCACACTCACCTGAGTAACCAGCAGACGGTTTCAAAGTAAAAGGGTCAAATTAACCAACCTATTAGCTTTTGCAATTTAGGATCTTAGAGGTTAAATTAAAAAAAAAAAAATTCTCACCCACAGATGCTGCCTGTAACATTTAAGATTAGAAAACTGATTTGCTGCATCCCAGCATACCCTTGTCCTAAAGTAGCCCGGAAGTGTTAGTGTTTTTTTTAGAGACAGACAGACAGGAGCTTCTGATTGGCTATCAGTCCGCAACAGGTTAATTAAGAACTTGAAATCTTAGTTTCTTAAAGAAAAAAAACTCTTAAGAGTATTCAGAAATTTTTAAAAGTTATATATAAAACAACACTTTGAAAATGCATTTATGTGATATTTCCAAAAAGAGAGTAAAGTGGAAAAAATGTCGCCATCAGCAAAAAGTGCGTGACTGCCATAGACTCAGCAGAGGTTACAAATCGAAATTAAGACTATACTTTCAGGGATCATTTCTATAGTTCGTTACTAGAGAAGTTTCTCTGAACGTGTAGAGCACCCGAAACCACGAGGAGGAGGCGTAGCGTCCTCTCCTGAGCGTGAAGCCGCTCTTGGTGTTGCTTCCGCAACTGCCATTTGCTATTGATGATCGTTCCTCTCTTCCTTTGGGAGAGTGAGAGGGGGAGGATGCCGTCTGAGTGGTTTCTGTTTACATTACTGTTGCAAAAAGTAGGTGGATACTTTAACATCGTTGTTAGATGACGTCTGAGTGGTTTCTGTTTACATTACTGTTGCAAAAAGTAGGTGGATACTTTAACATCGTTGTTAGATGAGGCTTTGGTTTCTTGGGGCTTTTGTTCTTTTTGTGTGGTGATACGTGGATTGTGTTTGTTGTTGTTTCTCTTTCTTAGTAACTACTTTGCTTTTTCCGTTGCTGGCATTGCACAGGCACCAATGTGTGTGGTGTAGATGTGGTGAACTTTATCCTGACAAGTTTTGGGCATGCTGTCAAATTTTCTCTCTGAGTGAGCTTTACAGTTGAATTTGTCTGTTGTTTGGGTTTTCTTTTTTTTTTTTTAGATTTCATTTTTTCCTTTTACTCCCCAAAGATCCCTGGTACATAGTTGTGTATTTTTAATTGTGGGTCCTTCTAGTTGTGGCATGTGGGACACCACCTCAGCATGGCCTGATGAGCAGTGCCATGTCTGCACCCAGGATCCGACTTGAGTCTCCCTAGAGGAGCGCGGGAACCCAACCACTCGGCCATGGGGCCGGCCCCCTGTTTGGGTTTTCTGATTGGATTTCTGTGTCATGTGATTTGAACTTTTCCTGTGTGAGTGCTTGGGGCAGCTCAGGAATATTGAAACGGAAAGTTTGTCTTTATACTCTCCGTCTGTGCAGTCACCGTCCCCTGACCCACGTAGACATCCGCTAGCTGGCCCCTGTGCTGATTTCTTCCTGTCTCAGGCCAGGCCAAGGAAGTGTAACGTGTGTAGCCCTACAGTTCATAGGACCTTAGCACTGAGGAGGAATGAAAGAAGGCAGGGTTTGGCCAAAGCATGCTGGACAGAGAGGTGGAGATAGTTTTACCCTCCATCTGAAGGGTAGTGGGCAGCTTTTGAAGGAGAGTGACTTGATCAACTGTGCAGTTTAAGGTCACTCTAACTGCTACGTGGTGATTAGATTTGGGGGGAACGGTGAGATGGCAAGTGTAAAGACCTGTTAGTCACCTACTGTATTCATCTACGTAGAAGATGATTGTGGTGATGGAGAAAGAGAAATTGACCAGATCTGAAAGATATTTAAGTGGTAAAATTGACAGGACTTGGGGATTGATTCACTGTAAGTATGAGTGAGAGTGTCAAGGATACTTGTCAGGTTTTATGGTTTGAACAAATGGGTGGACAATGGTTCCATATGTGAAGTCAGGGAGAATGGAGGAGGAACTGAATTAGGTAGGGCAATGGGGTAGCAAGTGATGGTAGAGTTCAGTTTTAAGGCACATTTAGGAGAAGTTTCTGACCTTTAACAGACAAATGGGAAAGGAGATAGAACTCTCAAAAGCAGACTGAGAATGAGCAGCCAGGGAGGTAGGACGTGTGTGTGCTTGATGGAAGCCAAGGAATGGAAGTGGGACAGTGAAGTGTGTAGAAAGTCGATGAGAGATTAAGATGGAGATAGAAAAGTAACCTTGGCTTTTATTGATGGCCATATTGGTCCTGTGTGGGCACAGAAACTGGTTTGGGGTGGACTGATCAGTGAAGGGATGTAAGGACTTGCCACTGGGTGGAAAGAGCTCCTGGAGGAAGTCAGACTGTGATAGAGAATATAGAGGTGGGTATGCATTAAGCTGGGGGAAGGGGAGGAGATGTGGGATTCAGACAGGGATTAATTAAAGATGAGAGAGCAAGTCTGAGTGCAAATGGAAGGACTGAGTAGAGCAGGAGAAATTGAAATATGGGAGAGAGCAGCTCCCAGCAGGCCAGGAGACCTTTGAGTCGGGCAGAGAAGATGGAGAGTGCTGATGTCAGTAGGTTCGTCTATTAGTGAGACCATATTGAGGGTTTTTTTTTTTTTTAAAGATTTTATTTTTCCTTTTTCTCCCCAAAGCCCCCTGGTACGTAGTTGTGTATTTTTAGTTGTGGGTCCTTCTAGTTGTGGCATGTGGGACGCCGCCTCAGCATGGCTTGATGAGTGGTGCCTTGTCTGCGCCCAGGATCCGAACCGGTGAAATGCTGGGCCGCTGAAGCGGAGCACATGAACTTAACCACTCGGCCATGGGGCCGGCCCCCATATTGAGGGTTTTTGAACTGATGGCTTCTAGTTCTGTGCCAGGTATGAGGCAAGATCATTGCTGAGGGAGGCTGGTGAGGAGAGGGGTAGGAAAGTTGAGAATAAAGACGGAATGGAATAATCATCCCAGGGAGCAGGTGAGGAAAAGACCATCTAAGAGCGTGCCCCCTCCCCTTCCCTGCTATTGAAGTTTTGGGATTGCTTCCTGGTCTTGGAGGCACCCCCCCCCCCCCCCCCCCCCCCCCCCTCCGAGTTACTTTCTCTTTCTTCCACTCTAGCCATGTACCATGTAGTTAGTCCTTGATCTTCTCTTTCTGGATCTACAGTGGTCAAGCGTTCACTGTGAGCCCTAAATTAGTTCTTGGTCTTCAAAGGTTCGGGATCCTGAGAGAAGCAGTGTATGCTCTGGAGTTGACTCCTTGGTCTATTATTTACTAGCTGTGGGTTCGTGGAAAGTTCCTTAACCTCAGTCTGTCCCTCTGTAAAGTAGGTAGATGCAGTAGTAATGGCATCAACACATGGTGTTGTTGTAAGGGTTAAATTAAATAAAGCAAGTGTGGTAGGTGAACGTTCCCTTCCCCCGTTCTGAAAAAGCCCCTCCCTTAGATTAGAAATCCTTGTCTCTTCCCCAGTCTTCCCTGTATCAGCACCATCCGCCTAATTGTTCCAGGCACAAACCAACATGTCACCTTTGAAGTCTCTTTCCCTGACCACCCCTGCCCCCCAGCAAGTCCATCAGTGAGTCCTATCAACTCAGCTTCCAGAACAGCCCAGGTTTTTCCTTCCTCCTTGCTAAGCCCAAATGCAAGCCACTGTGATCTCTCCCACCGACACTTTGCACTGGCCTCAGAATTGGTCTCCACAGCTTTAAACCTCTGAATGGTTTCCCTTCACACTTAAAATCCAGACTCCCCTGGCCTTGCCTTTGCTTAGAAAACCCTCAGATATCTGGCCCCTGCCTCCACCTCCTCTCTCTCATATCCTATGCTTTCTAGCTGTCTTCAAGTTGCTGGAACACACCATCTTGTTCCCTCCTTTGGGTCTTTGCATTAGTTGTTTTCTGTGCTTAAATATAACCTCCAAAGAGAGGCCTTCTCTGACCACGCAAATCTGAAGTAGCCGCCCAGTCCCTCTCTGTTTCAACACTTAAAATCCTTGGCATGCCTCATCTGGCATCCTCTCTCCCTCTCTAGAATGTAAGCTGTGTGTGAGAGTAGGGACTTTACTCACCTCTGTACCTTTGTATGCCCAGTACCTAGAATGGTGCTATAGCACATAAAAAGCAGGATAATGGTTAAGGTGACACCTACCAGCTCTGCTATTTAGCAGACCTCCCTGATCTTTCTGTGCCTTTGTTCCTCCAGCCATAAAACTAGAACAATTAATAATTGTATTTATTTCATAAGTGAAGCACTTAGAATGATGACGGGGGCCTGGCAAGCCCTCAGTAACAGTAGCTAACATTGTTATAGTTGGCACTCATGTGTTTGTTGAGAGAGGTGATGTCAGATTCACCATCTAGCTTTATTTTAAAAACTCAAAAAATGTGAACAGGTAGTGCAAACATATGATACAGAAACCAAAAGGTTCTGTGTTCTGGCACTGGTTTTCAGCCACCCAGTTGTTTTTCCTGCCACGGTCATGGTGACCTGCCTCTAACTTACCAGAGTTTGAAAGTCAAACTCGGAGGACAACCCTTGCATGCAACTACTAAGATTTGCTAAGCACTTGAATCAGCTTGGTTCTCATTGGCCCGCCGTTTCCTTTAGCTTTCAGGGGCGAGGCTGCTTCACCAATGCTGTGGAATGAATACCTCCTCGGCTTGAAAGATGCAGGTCATGATTGGCTGTCATTCAGTATTATGTTAATTAAGCATGGTTGTTTAAAAAATTTAAAAATACATTTCCACTTAAAATCTTAAAATGCATTGTTAAGTGATAGCATTTGAAAGATTGTGTTTCAAAATCTCATTCTCTTTTTTCAGTAGAACCAGAAATGGGGTAGCTATCTTACCATCAGTAAGAAGTGTGCAGCTGTCACAGACTAAGCAGAGGCTGCAAGGTCTAGGTTAAGACTATACTTTCAGGGATCATTTCTATAGTTTGTTACTAGAGAAGTTTCTCTGAACGTGTAGAGCACCCAAAACCACGAGGAGGAGGCACAGCGTTCTCTCCTGAGCGTGAAGCTGGCTCTTAGTGTTGCTTCTGCAACTGCCATTTGCCATTGATGATCGTTCTTCTCTTCCTTTGGGAGAGAGAGAGGGGGAGGATGCCATCTGAGTGGTTTTTGTCTTTATTTAGTTAAATGGAAGAAAGTTCTTAAATATTTGGTCACTTGCTTATGTTTCTATTTGTGCTTACTTTAAAGTGGTGTTTTTTGTTAATCTTTATGTTTTTTCCTATTTTGAGTCTTGTGACCGTTTTTTCTTTTAATCAGAGTTTCTAAAGTAGTTGCCTGCATTTGGTTTTTCCAGTGCACGCTTCCCTTCCTGTCAACACAACCCTGCCAAAACGTAGCATGCTAAACTAACCACAAGGCCATCCGGGCTGGCTGTGGTTTTCCAGTTTTGAATGTAGGATTTCTGTTGTATTGCCACCTTCCCTAGACAAGTTAGGCTTTGAGTATGCTGCTAGAAATTCATGTCTGGGCCTGCTATTCAGGTGTTTGACATATCTGCATTTTGAGCAATGGTTACTTTTTAGGAGTTACAAAGAAAAGCACTTTAAAGTAATTTTAAATGTACTTTTGATATTTTCTTGTTTTAAGATGGTTTGTTCTTTTTTTCTCCCCTCAGTGCTGTGATTATTTCTTTTAATTTTGTTTCTTTGGCTAAATGCAATTTTATTTATTTTTCAATTTTTTTTAGGAAGATTAGCCCTGAGCTAACTAGTGTAGCCAATCCTCCTCTTTTTGCTGAGGAAGACTGGCCCTGAGCTAACATCCGTGCCCATCTTCCTCTACTTTATACGTGGGATGCCTACCCAGCATGGCTTTTGTCAAGTGGTGCCATGTCCGCACTTGGGATCCGAACCAGCGAACCCCGGGCCGCCGAGAAGCAGAACGTGCAAACTTACTGCTGCGCCATCCAGCCAAGCCCTATTTTTTTTTTTGAGGACGATTAGCCCTGAGCTAACCTCTGCCACCAGTCTTCTTTTTGCTGAGGAAGATTGGTCCTGAGCTAATGTCTGTGCCCTCTTCCTCGATTTTATATGTTGGGAGGCCTGCCAAGCATGGCTTGATAAGTGGTGCTAGGTCCACACTCAGGATCCGAACCAGGGAACCCTGGGCTGCTCAAGTGGAATGTG